TTTCATTCATTAAAACATTGATGAAAAATGTATTGAAATTAAATCATCATTCACTATTGAAAAGAAATAATTATTCCACATAGAGTCTAAGAAATACTGATTATTTGGCTAAGGAAGCTCTTTTTCGAAAGAATCAAAGACGGACACTTTGAAGCCTCCTCCCTCCTCAATAATCCCCTTGACAGGGTCGACTCTGACATTTTTTAGGGTCAAAGCGGATTCTTGATATGAAGGCTTTTATACATTTAAAAAATTATAATATTTTGTGATAAAAAAATTACGTATCCAACTTTTTTATTTTTTTTAAATTTTTTTACAATGCTTATAAAAAATTACTTCCACTTATAACTATTAAAATTTACTTAAATATAAATAAATAAAAAATCCGTGTTAAAGTATTAAATGAAAGTGAACAAACTACACAAAATATCACTTAAACCTCTGTAGTCTATTACTAATCAAGCTTGCATAATCAACTAGATCATTTTCATTGGATAAAATTGTAACATGATTCTCAATCTTTCTTGTGATATAATTGACTGAAGGTAGTATTTAGGCCCTGTTTGGGAAGAAGGTTTTGAACTAAAATAATCAATAAAGACAAAATAGACTAAACTAGTCAATAAGACAAAATGTCACATTCAAACCATAATTATTTCATTTTTCCTCTTATAACCATCAAATCAACTATAAAAAATAAAACAAAAGAAAAAGGCAGCTTTTTCTTTCCAAATACAACTTTTTTAGCCAAGTTAAAATAGCCAAAAAGTTAAAAAGTCAATTGAAATAGCCAACTTCCCAAACGAGCCCTTAATCAACTTTAAATTCAAAAATTTCTTTTCTTATTGATAATAATTGTAATTGGTATAATTAATCGTATTATATATGCTGATATCAGTTTTTTAGTGGTCCTATGGTCGAGTGTTAGGTCCACCCACATGGTTGGGTCTAATCAAGGTTTTAGAAAGTGGTCGCAATCGTTACGTAACGCCGTTACGTAACGGTTGTGGTGGTTACCGCCACCCGTTACGACTGTTTTTGCGGTGTGATTGAGATTCACAGGTGTGTCGGTCATAACGGTACTGTAACGGCTGTAACAGCCTGTTACGCATCGTTACGTAACGGTTCCGAACTACTTCTTTTGAAAAAAAAAAAAAAGTTGAAAATGGGGGAAGAGGGAAGATAGAGAAGTAAGAGATAGACAGAGAGAAGAGGAAAGATGAAGAACATGTTATTGATTTGTTAAAGTTGTAAGACTTATGCTATTCTATTCGGCTGTTATTACTCAACTATTTTGTTTGTGTGTGTCTATCTATATATTGTTTGAATTTATTTGGCTTGATTAAAATATATATAAATATATTTTTAAACTCTTATTTATTTTCATATTTTTGTCATTATTTATCTTATATATAATAATTAGTAATTAATCTTAAAAGTATTATCTTATATATACTACTTTTATCATTGTCTAGAAAACATTACACTTATAATTATATATTAATACATATTTATACATGTCAATTTTTTTTATTAGTTTATTTTATTTTTATTTACAGGTTATCCAAAAAGAGAATGAATATTCAAGTGATCCAAACTCTTAAAAAAAAAAAAAAAATCTTTATAATTTATTTTTTATTTTTTATATGATTACATTAGCATGTATAATTTATTTTTTAAAACTATTCAAGTTAAAATTTGCATATACTTCCACAAGTATAATAATTAAAAAAATAATTTTATACATCGAAATCCAATTTTTTTTTTTTATTTTTTTTGCCATAAGTGTAATATGGATTTATAACATATAAAGTCATTAATTATTAAAATAAAATGTAAAAAACTCAGTTCATAGTGATTTAAAAATATGAAATATATTAAATCATACTAAAAAATTTACAAAAATTGATTAATATGTATTTTAAAATCCAATAAATATGATTATGGAAAAAAATATGCGTACCAATAAGTTTTTTTTCAAATTGTACAAAAAATAAAAAAATTCATAGTTCTTACTGCAACCGTTGTAGTCTTTACACTCGACAACTGCAACCGCACCATCGCCACCGTTATGGCGACCGTAATCGCTTTTTAAAACCTTAGGTCTAATCCTCCATATGACTGAGATCTCTGAATACTAGCGTTGGCCATTCTTGCTAATTGACCTACAAGTAAACCTTTGAGGATTCACTCGTGGGTGTCTTTCTCTTAGTCCTCCGAAGGTCTCGTTTGGGAATAGACTAATTTAGTAATTTTTTAGCTATTTAGCTAAAATATGAGTTAAAAAAAATTAGTATGTTTGGGATGACTTTTTACGAAAAAATGTGTAAAAAGTAGAGAAAAAAGAATATCTTTGACTTTTTGGTATGAATCGTTAATTTTTTAACTTTTTAAATAATTTTTTGACTTTTTAACTAAATGTGAGGGTGTCAAACTGGCCTAAGTTAGATTTGTTGATCTAATGATAGGGAATAATGTGTAGGAACAGTTCTGTTAGGTATTTACCTCTACCTCATTTTGTGTATGCTTGCATCGGGAATTCTTGGACACCTCTCGTTGGGCGTTGCATGGCACATCTTCATTGGGTGTTGTGTCTTGATATGCCTGCACGTTCAGGTGGTGGGTGGGGTTTTAGGCCTTCAACACTGCTTGTCTGTCGTATATGGTGGTGGTGGTGCTGCTGTTCTTGCGAATGAGCAGGGGTCAATCAGGACGAATCGATGATTATGATTTTGGGAGTTATTTTGTAGTTTAAAAAATTAGGAATTCTTCTATATAATTTTGAAATTATATAAAAAAAATTTAGGAGCACAAATTCTTATAATTTTAAATTATTTTAAAATTTTTAATATAATATATGATATTTTTCAAATTTTTGAGACTGCGACTGCCCTTCAAATTGGGGCCAAATTGGGTTCAAATTGGGGTCAACCACTTGGTTGGGGTCGACAACCTTGGTCTCCAAACTCTTCATGGCCGACTGAGGTGGTATGCAATTCTGGAGTTGGGTCGTGGGCGTTTTTGCCCCATCAACCTAATTAGGTCCACTTAATTGTCTGGTTGGTCACATAGTCAAACAGAAGCCCATAGTCATCAATGAAGTGTTTTGAGAAATTAATAAAAAGTTAATTTTTTGACTTTTTAATTTTTTTGAAGACTTTTTTAACAAAAAATTAGATTCTTTTGGATAAAAAAAGTTGATTTTTTAAGCTCAAAAAGTGAAAAAACTAAAAAATTAACTTTTTTAACTTCTTGTCAAAATGCTCCAATATACACAATCCATGTATTTGAAAAATAATTGTTCATTAATTTCAAAAAAAATCACAATATCAATCAAATTTTAGTTTTTTTTAGGTAAAATCATTTATTCATTAATTTTAAATAATTCACCACATCAATCATCTATTAGTTTTTGAATTTTTACTGAACTTTTCTAGGCCTTTCAAAATTAGGTGAGATTTCTGTTTTTATTTTTATTTTTATGATGATTATTTTTATTTTTTGGGCTAGTATGATAGCTATAAAATTTCGAAGCCTTTTCTTTTACTCATTTTTTGGAGGCCCAAAGCAGTGACTTTGGGCCAAAGCTAATCCAGAGTTGCTCCAGGGATGACAAATTCTCTCCAGCCACTCTACCCCCACATCCTTCATCCCGTATTGATGAGGAAGTGGAATGGGAATGAATTTTACTCTTCTCGCCTCTGCCTCAATTATAATCGTTACATATATTTATATGTATATAATATATATAATTTAAATTTATTAAATATAATAAAACTAAAACACTGCTCCGTTTGATAAACCTCTCAAATTATAATTTCACTAATTGATTTGAGTGTGGTGTTTGTTTTGAGCTTTCAAATCATAATTTTACACTAATTTCTCAAAACTCAATTCAAAACATAATCATTACTTTTCAAAACTCATAACCAAACATATAATTCAAAATTCTTTTCAAAACTTAATTCAAATCAATATTTTAATTTATTAAATATTTTAAATATTTAAATATTTAAATATGTTACGATTTTTTAATTTTTTGAATATTTTAAATATTTTAATTTTTAAATATTACGATTTTAATTTTTTAAATTTTAAAATATTTTATAAAAATAAATTCAAACTCTATTTTATAAAAATATTTTCAAATATTTTAATTTTTTTGTTATGTATTTGGTTACGATTTGAGTGTAGAGTTGTGAAAGTAGTATGGAGTTTCGAGTTATGTATTTGGTTATGAGTTTTAAAAATAATTTTTTAATTAAGTTTTGTTTTATGTGTTTGGTTACGATTTGAGTGTAGAATTGTTTTTAAATTTAAAATATTAAAATATTAAATTATTTAAATTTTTACAATTTAAATTTTTTGAAATTAAAATTTTAGATTATTTAAATTATTTAAATATTTATGATTTAAATTTTTTGAATATTTTTGAAAAAAAATTATTTCCTTTGTAGTATTTTCAATTAAAAAATTGATTAATGTTATTTTCTGTTAATAATAAATTTTTTTAATTGAATTTTAAAAAGAGTTTAATTATGATTGCTGATCAGAATTTTTAATAGTGTAAAAGTAGTGTATTTTGTTATGAGTTATAACAATTTGAATTAAATTTTGAAAACTTTTTCCAAAACTTATAGCCAAACAAATTTTCTTACTTCACATGTCAAATCAAACTTTCAAAATTTAATTTCACATACGATTCAAAACTCAATTCAACACTCTATTCAAAACTCATAACCAAACAAATTTTCTACACTCAAATCATAATTCCAGAACTCACAAACTCAAAATACAACTCATACTCTCAAATCATATTTACAAAACTCTACCAAACACAACTTAAAACATTGAAAATCACTTTTACTTCTTTATTTCCCATCTTACATCTCTCATTTTTATTAATATTACAATTCTTAAAATTATGTAATTAAATCGTCCTTACTAGACTCTCATCCATCTCGACTTTGTCCCGCCCTCGATATAATTCAAAAAGGTTGCAGGCACAACAAACCCTCCCGGCCTATTTCCAACCCTAGTTAGCTCCCTCTCATTATTTTATTTATTTTTTTGTCAAAAACAAAAAAAAATCTTGGAGGACTTCCATATTTGTGTTGTTGTCCTCATCAGCCCTGATGAAAAAGGACAAAAGATTGAAATTTGTTGAACCACTTGAGAGAAAATGAGAAGAAGACAGGACAAGCAAACCAAATGCTAATAATATGCAAGCAATCAGCCCATCTAACAGACACGATAAAACATTGCAAAACCATCAAACAAGTCCATCAAGTTCATGCCCAAGTCATCACCAGAGGCCTCCTCTCTCTCTTCCCCACTTCCTCTCTCCTCCTAACCACCCTCCTCCATTCCTTCACCTCCCTCCTCCCTCCACCACCACCACCCTCCTCCTCCCTGCACCATCCTCTCTCCCTTCACTACGCCACCACCATTTTCAACATCATCAGAAACCCTTCAACTTTCTGCTTCAACACCATCATTCGCGCCCACACCCTCCTCTCCTTCCCACTCAATGCCCTCCTCTTCTTCACCCAAATGCGCCGCCTCTCTCTCCCTCCTGACGCCCACACCTTCCCATTTGCTCTCAAAGCTTGTGCGCAGCTCCGATCGCTTTCAGTCACTTGTGCCTTTCATTGTCAATCTTTCAAGTTTGGGTTTTCGGCTGATGTTTTTGTTGTCAACTGCCTTATTCGAGCGTATTCAGTAATGGGTTGCATTCATGATGCGTATCAGGTGTTTGATGAAAGTTCTTACAGAGATGTTGTTTCGTATAATGCGTTGATTGATGGGTTTGTTAAGACTGGTGAGACTGAGCGTGCACGTGAACTGTTTGAAGAAATGCCAATGAGAGATTCGGTGTCGTGGGGTACAATTCTAGCTGGGTATGCGAAAATGAACCAATTCAAGGAAGCCATTGAACTCTTTGATCAGATGGTTGGTTTAGAGATTTGTCCTGATAATATTGCATTGGTTTCGGCTCTCTCAGCTTGTGCACAGCTGGGGGAGCTAGAAAAAGGAAAGACTATACATAATTTTATTGAACAAAAGGGAATCAAGAAAGACGCGTTTTTGTCTACTGGCTTGGTGGATTTGTACGCGAAATGCGGGTGCATTGAAACCGCCATGGAAATCTTTGAATCGAGCCATGAAAAGGCCTTGTTTACATGGAATGCAATGCTTACTGGGCTCGCTATGCACGGTCACTGCCAGCTTTTGCTTGATTACTTCTCCAGAATGGTGAAGAACGCAGTACAGCCAGATGGGGTGACCTTCTTGGCAGTGTTGGTGGGTTGTAGCCACGCGGGCCTCATTGATGAAGCCAGGCTTCTTTTTGAAGAGATGGAAGGTATCTATGGTGTCCCACGAGAGCTCAAGCACTATGGGTGCATGGTAGACTTGCTTGGACGAGCTGGTTTGATCAGAGAAGCGATGAAGATGATAGAGGACATGCCAATGGGGGGTGACTTGTTTGTGTGGGGTGGATTGCTCGGTGGATGTAGGATACATGGGGATGTTGAAATTGCGGAGGAAGCAGCGGAGCGTGTGATGGAGATAAGCCCTAAAGATGGTGGAGTCTATTCGATCTTGGCGAATATTTATGCGAATGCGGAGCGATGGGATGACTTGGGGAAGATGAGGAGATTGAGGGATTGTATGACAGTGAAGAAAAATGCTGGTTGTAGTTTGATTCAATTGGATGGGGTTATACATGAGTTTGTTGCAGGGGATAGCTTGCATCCTCGAACTGAGGAGATATATTTGGCTTTAAATGGTATTGGTCAACATCAATTGGAAGCACTTTAGGACATTTTTGAATATATATGTTATTACTTTTAATTGCATCATCCCTAATTGGACATGATTAAGAAGAAATAACTTAAGAACAATATTACATCCACTTATTTTTACTCACAATCTTACTAAAAACAATATATGTTCAATCATCATTGGAAGTTTAAATTCTATTGTTTTTTTGACAACCAACCACATTTGATCTCTTGTATTTTTAGTAAGATTTTTAATAAAATTTTTAGTAAGTGTTTGTGTCTAGTTTGCTATTGAAGAACCACAAAAATTTCCAACTAATGCACTTAACAAAACAAATTATTTTCTTTTTGTATATATGTCATTCATTACTTTCCAAGTTAAAATTTTTTGCTCAAATTAAGGATTTTTATTTCAGCAAAAACCTTATTTTAGAAAAGCAAATAAAAAATATTAAAAAATTTAAAATTGCAATTGCCAAACCAGCCCCTGGTTGCACTTTCCCCGTCCGACTAAGAATTTAAGTTCATATCATTTTGCCAATAAAAGAAGTCGTCACTGCATAGGTGAAATTACAAGCAAACTAAAAAATTCACGGCCAAGTGAGAAGGGTTAGTAGTATTGAAAAGTTCACTATTGTAAAATCTGAATGATGGGAAGGAATTTACAGAGAAATTTAGCTTGTAGAAATCAGTTAGTCTTGGGAGCTTCTATTTGTACCCAAAAGAAAAAGAAAAAGAAAAAAAAAAAAAAAAGGTTGGACACCCTATTACTTTGAGCACCTTAATAATAAATTTAAAATTTTATTTGTTTGTTTGAACAGTCTAAATAATACCTATCCTAACCCTAAAAATTCTAAAACCCTATACAAATCTACTTTGTAAACCCCATTACCAATTTACAGAGGAACAAAGATCACATTTAGGATCTTTGGAATTCCAAGCAGCGAAAAGAAATTGACAAAGAGGGTCTCTGCTCCTCTACACAATCCGTGCATTTTGAATTCTAGTTATTTCATATGGATACTCAGTGCTGAACAAAATATATTTGTCGTGATACTTAATTCTAAACATGTGAAATTTGTTTGGATACTCAGTGTCGAATACAAGAAAATTGATTCTAGTTGTTTCATATGCAAATCGAACAAAATATATTTATCCCGGCACTTAATTCCAAACATGTAAAGTTTGTTCGGATTCTTAGTGTCGAATCAATTTGGAAAACTAACCTACAAAAAATGATGAACAACAATTAAAAACTTACTTTCTTTATAAAAAAAAATTGTATGAAACTTCTTCTTTATTGTCCATTATTGATTTCAATATAAAATAGAATGCAAGAATGATAGATTAAAGCAAATAGGGTTGGGTATGAGTTGGGTACGAAGATACAAAGTGATGAAAGTAGGAAAAGAAGAGAGAATGAATATGAGGGCTCATGATAAATGAAGTGTCAAAGCACTTTTATTTATAATTTTTCTAAAGTCAAGTAATTTTTGGTCATTTTAAATAAGAATTTAATAATAATAAAAAAAATATCATTAAATTGGGATGTCCAACCTATTTTTTTGGAGTGTAAATAGAAGCTCTCGTTAGTCTTTCAGCAGCTCTTTGTAATTGTGTGCCCAGCTACTGTGTCAATTTACAATACACACGTTTTTAGAGTGTATTCCATTTGCAAATTTTGAATATATTTTGGCGTTGATATCATAAATAGTATAACTAAATCATTTTCAAACATAACTAAAATAAACACAATGAGTCGTAATCAAACATCATTTAAGTTATAAATAAGTCATAATTAATACCATAATAAGTTATATATAATCAAAATAATAATTACAATAAATTATAACCAACACCATAATGAGTTATAATTAAAATAATAATTACAATAGGTTACAACCAATGCTATAATGAGTCATAATTAAGTCAAAATAAACATCAAAATATGTCATAATCAAATATTACTTGAGACATAATTAAAAATATTTTCAATCATAACTAACTTAACAATTACAATTGCCCGAACTAGGTCATAATTAATAGCATAATAAATTATAATCAAATTATAACAAATATCATAATTAATCCTAATAAAGAATTACAAAAGTCATAATTGATTAGATGGTACACCCTGTATTAAAAACTGAATCATTATCCATAGCTTAGGAATGGGGCAATGCCAAAGCACAAGAAATATCCTTTTCTAATCGAACGTCACAAATCAATAATGAAAATGTCACTAATCACCGATAAAAGTAATGGTTGGTTAATTTCACCAATTACAATAATTTTTAGGCACTGTTGGGTTATTTTCTATCGAGAGGTTATTCAGTAGTTATGGGCTATAGTCACATAATCTCTAATGGTGTGTTTGGTTGGGGGATTTGGGGAGGGATTTGGAAAGAGAAAGGGAAAAGGTGTGTGAAACTATGTGAAATATATACATATTTTATTCACATTTCACCTACCTTTTCCATTTTCCTTTTCAAATTCATTTCCAAATCCCTCAACCAAACACAACATAAAAGAAGTTACCACTGGTGGATGGCGAGTATTGAAAAAATGTAGGAATATTATAAATTAGTGATTAGTTGGTGATAGAAACATGTGGTATATCCTGAAAAATCTAGTAGTTTTTCATTCCTATCCTTCGTGCTATACATTCTTTAATGCTCTTATAAAATAATATTTCATTCTATTTAGGATTAGTTTGGCGTTATAGGTTAAAGGCTAAAATAGTTATAAAATAATAAAATAAATTAAAAAATTTAATAAGATATAATGTCATATCGATATTATAATAATTTTAATTTTTTTCTCATAAAAATAAAAAGAAAAAGAAAAATAAACATTAAAAAAAACCCATCATAAACAAGGTTTTTTTATCTAAACTAAAAACCGAAAAGCCAACCTACTTTACAAATGAAGGCTTAGTAATTGATATCTTGCATATCATCTCTAAAAATTTTAATATAATAATGATAAATTTAATAATTTATTAGACCATTAATTTTCAATTTAAAACATTGTTGGCTTATTTTTCCTACGAAGGAAAATATCATAAATGCGAGCGTGCCAGCAAGGATTGAAAAATCCTTACAGATTAAATTCAAGCCAATTATCAAGCGATTGTGTTGACGGTTCTTTTGCCTCAACGAAGAGGACTTCAAATTTGCCAAGTGTAGAGAAAAGAAAACAGTAAAAGAAGAAAGAGGGACGAAGAAAGACGATTGAGTGAACAATCAAAGTAATAAATACTTACCTCTACTCCTATGCTTCGAAAAGAAAGTACATAAAATGCTTCGAAATGGAAATACTGAAAATAAATGTTTCGAAATATAAATCTATGTTAAACTACTCCTAAGATAAGGAAAATGACAAGAAATATTGAAATCAATTGTCTTTGATTTTAAGTTCTGGCCCTTTACAATGTAGCCATTAATGGCTATTTATAGAAGAAAAAATACAGCAATAACTACTTAGTAACTACCCATTTCTTCCATCTTCATTCTTGTCTTGCCATGTGTCCTCCCACTCATCCACTTTATCCTCCCACTCATCCACTTTGTCCTTCATATTCTCCATTATCTCTATAACTTCTTTTAACTTCCAAATGAATAAGAGGATGCCACGTGTCCTGCAATTATATTAATAATAAATAATAAAAATTACAGATTTATGGTGTTAACAAACATCATTTAAATTTACTACAAAAGCCTTGAATAATGTCTTTCTTATAAAAATTTCACTTTATCCCTTTATGCTTTCACTGAGCTATAGATTATTTCGTTCTTATTTGAAAATAATCGCATAATCTTCTTGAGAATTGTGAATTGAAATGTATCATTAAATATTCTGTCGAATTTAACAGCAAACATGAAACAATGCCAAACATAAATATAAAGAAGTTATATACTCATTTTCAAATTTTAATAAAGTAAATTGCACATAAAATAAAACATAATGAGTTAAAGTGTATTTTATCTCCCAAATAAATGATAAAAATATCTTTTATTCACACATTTTAAATTACTTATATGCAAGAATATTTTAGTATTTTTATTAAATCATTAACGAGTCTAATGATATACTTCAACTCACAAATCACAGGGATAATTTATACATAAACCAAATTATAAAGTGTTAAGGTGAAATTAATCAATTCTTATCTGTGAAAAATTTACAAAATATTTATATATTAATAAAAACTTTATAGATTTAATTGTTAATGATTATATAATTTTATATTGATTTGAAATTTATTTTGATGTGCAGTTTCTCCGAAATAATTTAACTATATTTTATTTTTTATTTTTTTATGAAGTAGATGATGTGGGACGAGGTGAGATGTCGGATCAAGAGGCTTCCACAATAGTGGTGTACTCATTAGGTTTGTAACACGTGTCCCCACTTGCATGTAGTGTGTGCTAGGTGTCTCCTGAACCTTCGTCTTCCCCCAATTCCCCCATCTATAAATATATGATCTGGATAAATACATATCCACAACCAGCAGCCAACATCAAGCTCAGGATCACTCTTATTTCTCATTTGCTCTCAATCATGTCTTTCAGAACAACAGTAAGTATCTAATTTAACTTTCTTTCTACATATATGTATATCTTTTGAAGAATTGTTATACATACCCAATTCACTCTTCATTTTTTTTTTCTTCAAAATTTTTAAGTATATTGAATTTTTTTTTAGTTATGATATTATTTTAAAATATTTAATTATGATTTAAAAAAATATAAAATTATATTATTTTTTTCAGTGATGAGAGACATATAATAGATACTTGAGAGTAATGATGTACGATAGTATTTCTCATATCTTCTTCTTCCTATAATTCTCTCTATATCTGCTTCTTCCTATAATTCTCTCTTTATTATTATTCAATGTGTTTGGTCTGAATTTTTTAAATTAAATTTTTTAAAAATTAAATTTTTTGATTTTTGTGTTTTTTTAAAAATATTTTTAGTGAATATTTTTAACATTTTTAGATGTATCTTATTTAGATGTATTTAAAAAGTAAAAAATTTGTGAAAAATATTTTTAAAAATTAATAAATACAAAAAAATATGTTGAATTATTTTTTTTTATATTTTTGATATTTAGTAGATTTTTAAAAAGTTTTTTCATAAATTTTTTATTTTTTAATTATATTTATGTTAAATATGTCTAAAAATTAGAAAAAAGAATGGTTTAAAATATTTAAAAAATTTAGTAAAAATAAAAAAAATACAAAAAAAATAAGAAAGTAAATTTTTTGAGAAGGGTTTTGAAAAGTATCCGTCACATTTGCAGACTTATTGGAAATCAATGCTCAATCGCCTCGGAGGAAGGTCTAGTTTTGCGACTTCAACATCTCCGAAAATGAAGGCTTATGCGCCTGCTAGTGAATACAGTGGTCAATTTGAAGAGACCGCCAAGGCAGTGAGGGGTGAGTTCATACCGGTGTATGTGGCGGTGGGGATGATAGCGATGTCAGCATCGCTAGGACTCACCACCGCCTTACACCAGCTGATGTACTCCCCTAATGTGCGGGTGAAGAAGTCGAGGAGGGAGACGGTACCGGAGGTGGTGGAGCCGGAACTTGTGGTGGATGAGAGTGACAAGTACATCAAGAAATCGCTTTTCAGAAAGGTGGCTCATATTCAGGAGGTCGATGTCATACCTGAACACGCCCATCGTGAAATTCTTACCAGGTATATATTCTTAGGGTAAATTACGAATTCATGACATTTGTTTAAAATACATTGTTGGGTTTGGATTGATTTTTTGTAAGTTTAGTTTTTTTTTTTCTTTTTCGTATTTTTTTTAGTTTTAGATTTAGTATTTTTTTTAATATTTTAAATAATTTTTTTTATTTTTTAAATGCAAATAAAAAGTAAAATTGGAAATATAATTAGACTTTTGTATTTGATAATTTTTTTAAAGATTTTTTTTTCATAAATATTAGGTTTCCCAGTTTTTCAAAAAAAAAATATCTATTCTATAATTATAAAAAAAAAATATGATATAATTCTAATACTTTTTGAGTTTTAATTAAAAAGAGTCACAATCAAATATCTCAAGAGAAAATTGGTCATAATTAAAAATGTATATGGTATAGGGTCTATTTTTAGTACTATAGAGGTAATCTATATTTTAAGTAAATTTAAGGGTGTATTTTTAATTTATTCTAATTTTAATTATTAGAATTTGTAAAATTTATCTCTTATTTGAAATTATTTTTGAAAAGATACACCAAATTGTAATTTTTCTATTTTTTTTTGATTTTTTTAATTTAGAAATTTAGAAAGATAAATTAATTACATTTTTAGTCCTTGGAGCATATTGTTTGTGCCATTTTGATTTTCAAGTGTCGATTTAGTTCCAATGCATAAAATCATATTTTAATTTGGTCTTTCAATATAATTTCGTTATTAAAAAATTTTCTTAAATAATCATACTTTTAGTTTTCAGAATATGTGATATATACTATTTATTTGAAAACTCACTTGAAAATTTTATATCTTTTAATCTTTAAAATATATAATTTGTGTTATTTTGGTTTATGAAATTACACATTTTCCTCTTAAATTAATGGTGTTATTAACGAAGTTAGGTTTCATATTTATCGGGGTTAGGTTAATACACTATGTTATGAAGTTGCAGGTTCAATTTCAAATTAAGTTTGATATTTTTGGTAGTGGTTATTTGTTTCTTTTTTTTTTTTTTTTTTTTTGTTTTGGTGGTGTAAAAAGTGAGGTATTATATATGGGGTTGTATCAATGGCAGTGGTTAGACCTATTGTTAAGCTAGTCTAGTGGTTTGTTTAATTTAATATTTTTTATATTTGTAATTATTATTTTTAAATAAATAGAATAACGGAATTTGATTGTGTATTAAATTGGAGTACTTGTTTTATATATTCGGAAAATTTATTTATTACCAATTAAAATTATATAAAATTTATATTTTTGGGACTAAAAATATAATTAATGCTAAAATGATGGTACATTTTATATATAACAAAAAATTTAAAAAAAAATTCTCATTTTTTCAAGTTCTTTGTCCAAATTTAAAGTCCAACCATAATTTTCTTGCATATTACACATTTGATTATGACTTCTAGTAACTGGGCTATATGCTCAATTGAAGAGGCTGTAGACTTATTTTGGATCCTTTTCAAAATTTTGTTAGATTGGCCAAGTAAATTATTCAATTAGGTAATCAATAACCATATGCTTAAAAATAGAGAAAAAAATTTAGGGATGTATATCTTAATTGCTAAAATTGTTATTGGTTATATTTGTAGTTATGAAATTGGATAGTTAGTAATGAATATCATATTATTGGGATCAAATTTTTTGTGTCAAAAATAGATCTTTTGGCATTTTTTTTTTCAATTTTCTGGGCAGTCTTTTGATGACTCCTCTGGAATTGGGTATCAAGAACCAATTGGTATGCAAGTGATTTTACTGCCCATATTTAAAACCTAAATGGGCACACACTTGTATTCTCATATAGAATTGAGAGTATTTTTACAGTTGAAAACACTGCTTTGGTTTTCCCATTTCATATATATATATATAGATGTTGATCATATTTCAACATCCCAATTGGGCATTGCAGACCTCCACAGGCGGAGACACTGAAGGAAGTCGGTGTGGATCCAAAGATAAACTGATCAAAGAAGAAGATGATGTTGAATCGAATCGACTCGATCCCCAACAGTGAGAGAGGTTGAGCTGTTTGTTTTGTTTGATTTGTAAGGCATAGGCAAAATACTCGGTTTCGTGTCTCAAATTACCTCTCAACAGCATAATGTCTTAACTTAGATTTTGACAGTATGGTAAGGTAAAGAGGGGATTTGAGATGGTTGTACATATTTTCATGCATTTAATGGAATAAGTTTGTCAGTACCCAATTCAGTGTTGGTGATGATTCTTGTCTATATGTATTTTCAGATGAAAAAAGATAAAAGGCTATAGAGAAAGCAAATGAATCAAGAAAAAAAAAAATTGTATGATTTATTATTTTTTTTGGAAATTTAGGTGAGAAAAGATTGAGAAGTAGAAATGATTTATTAAGTTAAAGCAAGCTGCTATGATGCATATATAAAAATAATAATAATAAATGTATGATTCAGAGTTTGTTTGGAAATTTTGGAAATTGTAGGACAGAAAAAAAGAGTGAGAAAGAGAAATGATTTAACTGATTTAACAAGTTGAAGGTTTTAAACCTATTACAATGTGGGATACTATATAGTACACATCTTATTATGTAATGTGTATATGTATTTTATTATGTATTTTTATGATAAATATTTAGTAATTTTTTTAGTAAAGTTACATGTGCAAATTTTTTTTTATAGTAATTTTTTAATTTTTTGAGATAAAAAAAATTAATATGTTTAATATTATTTTTTAGTTGAATATATAGTTGTGAATAGGGGTCATCAGATGGCCTGCATGTAAAAAATTTGGTATTATCTAACTTGTTTTATCCTTTTCAATGTTCCGTTCTGGTTTGTTTAACTGCTCAGCTTGTCCTATCCCATAGAAGATGATTCAGAATTTTGGATAAAAGTTTAAAATCTGAATCCACTTATGAATCTAACCCGTATAAGACCGTACGAGTAAATCTAGCCCGACTATTCTATTAGTCTAATTCAAATTATCTCGTTCAAAAAAAAATAATAATAATATTATCAAAAAAAAAAATTGTGTTAAATTCAATTTTAATTCATTAAAGTTTTAATTTATATAAAAAAAATAACATTTGGCAGTTCATATTGTTTTTGTAAATTGTAATTTGAAAAAAAGTACACAAAATATAATTTGTTAAAATTGAATTTCAACGCTGATATCTTTCTAACTCTCAACTTTTTACGTATAACATTGTCATAATTTGTTAATTTAATGACTTTATACTTTAATTTGATTGCTTTAATAGTATTAATTAATTTGATCGTATGAATTATTAAAAAAAAAGAAGTAAATGTATAGAACTTAGGCACCGTTTGGGAAGGAATTTTGTGGGTTTTTTTGGCTATTTTAGCCACAAAAGACAAAATAGGCTATTCTAGCCACAACAAATAAAACATCACATCTAACCCATAATCATTACACTCTTCTCTCACAAAAAAATCAAAAGTCAAAAAAGTCCTTCCCAAACCAAGCTTTTTAGCCCAGGCTAAAATAGCAAAAAAAGTCAAAAAGCCAAAAAATCAACCCACTTCCCAAACCAACCCTCAATAATATAAGTTTAATAAAAAAATATGTAACCCGATTCAGTTTGATCTTATCACGTAAGATTTGGGCTTACGGGTGAGACGTGATTTTAGTTTTTTTTACATAAGTCCGGCACATACCAACCTATTGAGTGGTCAAAACTCGAAAAACCCATTAATGGATGTGGACACAATAGTTATGAGCCAAGTAAACTCAGCCCGTCGGATTGATGACCCCTAAAAAAATGATTAATTGATGTGTACAATACGATTTTTTATTTCTTTTTTTATGTTGTAGTAATTTTTAACTTTTTTTACTTAAAAAAAAAAAATAGCCGCCAAACGGGATTTAGTTTGATACTCTTTACTGTGGTTTATTTCTCCCTCATAATGGTTGTGTTGGGCTTGGATTAATTGTTTTATTGGTTAACTTTGTTGATTTTTAACTATTGTACATTAGTGATCTGTTATTTATAATTATTTTCCTAATGTTGAATTCATGTAGGAATCCAAAATTCAACCAATTACACCTACATAAACCACCTCCGCCACACTATCAACGCCATCTCCACCACTGCTCTACCACTACTAGGGATGGATCATCGAGGAGCTAGCAGGCAGGAAGACTGTTACTTTAAAGTTTTTTTAAAAAAATATTCTTAAATATATATTAATTTAGTTTGATTTTTTTAAAAACTAAATAGCTTAGCCCCCAAGATTTTTGGAAATTTAATATTCGTACCCTAAGATTCTTTCATAACAATTTAAGACTATTTTACTTTTATTTTTAGGTAAGGTAACATTTGGTTAGATATTTTTACTCTTTCATGTTATAGAAAAAGTAGATAACATAATTTATTCAAATAAATAAATGGACCATTATAAGTATCTCAATATTTCTTTGAATCCCTACTTCATCTATATCCTTTGAGAAAAAAAAAAAAAAAAAAACCCTCAATACTCTACTACTCGTTTTGCTTTTACTTTTAGCAAATTTTGTATCTGGTCATAGTTGTAGACCAAAATCCATAGTTGCTCTTGTGGAGAAAATAGATTTATGACAAACTTGGGGGGAAAAAGAGTGGGGAAACATCTTGTGATAACTTAGATCTTCAACTCAGTTTTCAATCTTGATCAATCTTCAACTCCAAAATGTGTTTCTTTTTCTTGTTTCGATTCTCCTTTTTCTCTTCTTATTTTTCTTTTATTTCATTGTTTTTCTCTTTTTTTTTCCCCTCTTTTTCTTCAACTCAATCCCCATTTTTTTATTTCTTCTTCTCTATTTCAAAACTAATTTTGGTTTTTTTTTTCCTTCATGTTTTTCTTATTTTGATTCTCTTTTCTTCTTCTTTGTCAGTCATTAAAAAATTAAAGATATATGTAAGAATTGAATAACCAATTTAAGAAGGTTGCAATTAAGTTACTTACTCTTGGTTTCATATCCTAGGAATGGTTATATGTTTTTCCAAATTAAAAAAATTTGCAAGCATGCAAATAATTTTATGTCCATATAAGAAAGTTTCATTTGATATTTTAATTGTAAAATTATAAGATTGGTATCCTCCAACATCCTGAAATTCAAAAGTTATCAACAATTTTTTAGTTGTGCGAAGTTTTGGTAAAAACATGCTATTGTATTTTGATCATATATTTTTTTAATTATATAAATTGAATAAAAACATTCTAATGATAGCTTGTGACAGTTTTAACATTTGGTGTTGATAGAAATTAAAATTACATTTCATACCTTTGTTATAATTTTTTTTAGTTACTCATACATTTACTCCTCTAAGGTCAAAATCTTACATGGCCAGCCACCACCACCATCACTACCATTGCCTTCATCACTGCTGGCACCACCACCACCAGCACTACTACCGCTACTACCGTTACTACCGCTGCCTATTAGGGAACCTTAAACTCTCATACTCCATGTTAAAAGATAAATTCATGTGTCATTGGAAGTATATTCAAAATAATATATGCACACAAAAAAAAAAAAAATCCACAATATTTAAAGTGTATCGGCCCAAATGCCTATATCTACAGAAAAGAGATGAATCTACTGTATAGATAAAATAAAAAGTATATGTGAGATGATTAAAAATACGCAAAACTCACACCACTATTTGAATTACACGTCAACATAGTTGAGTCATTAGTCACGTCAGTATAATTCTATTTTTTGTTCACCCAATACATCCATCTATTTCCTTCCCAACTCTCATCAATCTTTTACCACACATTAGAGAGACTTTCCTTATCTCTTCTCACATCAGAGAACACCCTCTCTGACTCTCAACACAATCTATAAACACACACGCGCGCGCGCACACACATATATATATATATATATATATATATATATATAAAGTATTCGAGGAGATGCACAAAAACAACTTCTAAACTTCGCAAGAGTAGCAACCCGTGCACCCCAGAAAATGTACCAAGCACTACAATTGCCATACCCAATGTCGGCAACCCTTGTACACAGTACTGCCACAAACCATATGAAGAAGCATTAATGCTTTGCTTGCTTTGTCTTTTGGATGATCAAGAGTGATCAATTCCTCCAATTATTAAATGGATTAGGGTTGATCACGAGTTTTGTTTGGATAATTCAATTTGTAAGGCTTTCATTATATATTATTTATTGAAAAAATTAAGTCGATTTGAGGTTAGGTGCAGTTTTGGGGTCTGAGGGTGTGCTCCTTTCAGGTCTCAGGTTTAACTCTCAATAAGTACTATTATTAACTCCTTGAGGCTACGTCTGCGGGCTCTGTCCGATATTTGCCCGATCCACTTGAAAGGACGATTTACGCAGGTTCCGGAAGTAGTCGAGATAAACTAACCCGACCATTTTTTTTTAATATTTTCATTTTATCACGTTTGTTTCCACAAAAAAAAAAGAGACATATTTTGAAAAACATATTTATCGTACATCTTTTTGAAAATAAATGTGATAAAATAAATAAAAAAATGTGATTATCAAATCGATATAATATTTTAATTTTTAATTTATCAAACACTCCCTAAATATGCATAATATAATTTTTTTTTTTCCATTTTATATGTAAGGTATCCGCGACCAATTTGCATGAGCCAAACTAAGTCTAAAGTAGGCAAACTCTTGGGGTTTATGCATACAACAATGTTACGTTACTCGAATTTGACTTTGCCTGAATGGTTCGAGTTTTGGCTTGCTAGTCATTCAGCCGGTCATTTGTCAACAAGATGACAGTCGTGGTAGTTGTAGACACCCCATTTTGACCGGTCTTAAGACTTGGGCGCTTTCTTTTGATTACTTGATGATGAAAACAAGAATATGCTATCTTACAAAATTTTCAATAAGAAAGATGGAATTTGAGCTTTCTTCTCAACTTAAGCCTATTTTGGCCAAGTATTTAAGACTTGTTCAAAACTCTTTTTCAAAACTTTCTTTCCACGGTTTGTTCTGAGCATTTCATACTGTTCCGATGCTCATTTTTTAAATTTCAAAATAAAATGTTTTCTCAGAAAATTGAGCAAAGAACAATGTGCAAATAGGAGAAAAAGATGATAATTATGTCGAAAAGTCATGTTTCGTGCAAAATAGTCATGCCAAGGCCAACTTTTTGGCCAGCTAGCTAAGAAATTGGTCGGCCAGCCATGAAATTGGTCGGCTGGCTAATTTGTCCAGGAATAGGGCAGTTTCA